CCCCAAAACCCCAAAACCCCAAAACCCCAAAACCCCAATGTAGTAAAGTTTTATTGAGTCTTATTATAAAATAAAACATTTGTTCATCGTAAAATTATGGATAAGAACCATTATAAGACACTATCAAATAAAGCGATACAGTACGGAGGACAGAAGAAGGCTAATTCCCGGCCAAATAGGAGGATATTTAACAACAAATAGAACATTTATGGGTATATTTTGGCTTTATTATAGTAGAGAATCGCAAGAAAGTCCCTCAAATTCTTGGAAATAGGAACTTCAATTTGCCAAAGTAATACAGATTCTTATTAAAAATTTACAAATTCGCCGGAAATTGGGACTGCTCTGACTTGAATTTTTCTTAACATTGCCTAATTTGCTCGAGATTTCGATTTGATCTATTAGAAATAAGATCTATGGTGTTATGATAAAATTATAAATCTAGGAACAAACCGATGAATCTGAATAGGTTTAAGTCTCCAGTCCCTTCTCTGAGTAATCGTTTTGTAACAATGATTGATGGAAAGATGAGGAGTCCTAATATAAAATTAAGGGGTAGGCAAAATCCCAGCTCAAGGAACAATTCCTCTAACATCACTCCACTTACAATGAAGCGGGTCTTTAGCAAGGCTAAGAATCGGAGTAATTTTCTAATGTAATTTTCAGTTCCAAAAACTGGTTATATGACACAATTGGCTGGAATGTAAGCGCAGCAGCTTTATGTGTAGTCGGAAGATTCCAAAAAGCCAAAAGAAAACTCATATCAGATCTTCTGACTCAAACAAAAATGTATCATTAGCCAAGCAGGATACACTACTTACAGAAACTGATTTTAGTGAATTTCCGGATGTGGCGCCGAAAAATATGAGCACTAATCGGAAGAATTATAAGAAAATTCAGACGAAAATCGGATCTCCAAACGTTCGAAAGCTAGACATGGGAAAAGCGTAGCTTTATATAATATGTTTAGGAGGAGGAAAAGGAAAGAAAGCTTGGTGGATAAGTAAGCCTTTTACTAACAATTCAGAATTCTTCAAGGCATTTCTAAGGGAATGCGCTCCCCTGCAGCTAGACAGTTGAAACCTTTACCCAATAGTAAAATAGCCGCTCAGAGAAGAGGGAAAGGTAAAACTAATGGGAAAGTTACAAATATGCAAACCATCCAGAGGGGTAAAAAGTCCATCCAGTAAGATCTTGGTTTGACAAATATTAGTAATTTGAATGAAACTCATATAACATCCTTCATCAGTAGCTCTGCCTTTCGAAATGTTCATAAAAAGTTAAAATAAGCTTCAGTCACAAATTGGTAATCATCCAGTAAGCATTTGTCTAAGATTCTGTTTCATTGGTAGTCAAAATAGGTCATTTGCTAGCCACAGCAGAAGTAGAAGGAGGATTACTTTATCCAATACAAAAACTCCAAATTATAAAGAGAGTGTTGCTGAAAGAGCCCAAAGGTACATCTCAAGGAAACGGAATGATGAGAATAGCAAACTAGAGAGAAAGCGTACTGGCTCCATTAACTCCGTCCAATTTAAGTAAACCTTGTTTTTAATTTTAGGAAGCGCAGAAAATTTGGAAATCGGATAAAATCAGAAGATGACTTCGAGCCAAGAAGATTTCGAGACTCAAATGGTAAATGAAACTGACAATATTTAGAACATCTATATACAGATACAATAGAAAATTATCAGGAAGAAATGTCCCAAGGAATCGTGGTAATCTCAAGAATTTTATGCAATAGGAAACATCCGAAAGTGAGCTTGAGAAAATCCCTGAAGGAGCTAAGTTCATCACCAGTAGTGATCAAAAGTCTAAGAAATCTTCTACGAAGAAACGAAGCCGGAAGAATGCGAGATACTCGATAGTTCCAGTAGATTTATTGAACAAAGTTAATGTTTTTGATAAAGAGAAGATTCATCGTAAAGCAACTTCCTCTAAGAAGTACTCTTGCTAATAATTTCTAGAAAATACTATGATATGAGTGTGACACCTGTTCGTGGTACCCAGGCAAGAAATAGAAAGAACACTGCAACAAGCCAATTTCTCATGATGAAGAATTTCCGAGATAGTCGAAGTATCCTAAAGAAGCGGAAGTTAAAGCTAGGGCAGATTATCTTCAAGAAACCCACTAATCTAAAGAACAGTAGGATAAAGAACTCTTCTGAATATTCAACTGCTTCTCAGAAGGGAAGCAAAGAGCTGGGTTTCAAATCTTTAATGTCAATTAATTCTAAGAGAACAAAGCAAAAGAAGATCAGAAGTAGAGCCAAGCAGAGAGGAACCATTAAAATCAAATAACAACTTAGGAATCATCCAGGAGGAAGGAAATAAAAAGAAGAATAAGAGGAGCAGAATGCCACCTTATAAAAGTAATAACCAGAGGCTCATTAAAAAGTCCCAAGGAGAAGAGAGCTATTTGACTGTCAAATTCTCCAATCCCAAGGGAGATCGAAGAAGGACCGTCTGCAGTATTATAAGTGATGATGAGAGCATTGATAAGAAAAAGATCTTTTCAGAGAGACTCCCAACTTCTTCACACAAGGTAAGCTCAAGGTCAGGTCAGAAAAATACTGCTGGGAATGGAAGCCAAAACCACAGATATGAGTCAAGCTATACCTATGAATCTTCTATTACCAGCACTGATAAAGATGATAGTAAACTATTGCATAATCTTTAGTACTTGATGAGAAGGAAGAAGAGAAAATGCTAGCTAAGATGCTCAAACAGAGCTATGTTAGGAGAAGCACTGAATTCGATGGCAACGGTACTCCAAATCTGACTGATATGCCATCAAAGAGGCGACCCTCCTCTGCTCTGAGTCGAGAAAGCTTCTTTATTCCTTATATGTTTGCTAAAGGTATCCCACAGCTTTTATTTGTGTAGAGAACGAGAGGAATACAAATGAAAATAAAGATAAAGCAAAGGCAATTGCAGCACTTGAAGTTTCAGAAAGATTAGGGGGTGGGAAATAAGTGCTTATATTTAGACAAATCAAGCTATTGAGACTATGTTGAAAGCAAAGGAGAGTCTCCCCAAAAATCTCCAGCATCCAACGAATCCAAACAGTTAAAAATTCCTGTACGGCCGAAGAAAGGCGATCAAATTTCGATGACCGATGTTAGAGCAGTTGCCAAAAATAACTCATAAAGTCCATTTAATGATTTATAATCTATAAGTTTATATTATTCCACTACATCCAACCCACCAGGGGTTTTGGGGTTTTGGGGTTTTGGGGTTTTGGGG